AAAAAAAAAAAAAAAAAAAAAAACTAAACCACAAGCAGCACCCACCTCCTCTCCCCCACCAGGACTGTAGTGAGAGGGGAAAAGAGACAGGCAGCTTCACCAAGGCCATGGCTTGGTTGCTCTTGGCCAAGGGAGCTGGGTGAAGGGCAGGGGCTCCCCGACAGTTTGAGGGGATAGGGGAAACCAAAATAAAACGTCAAATAAATTGTGTAGGAGTCCAGCCTAGGGCCAGGCAAAAGCCAGGCCAGGCTGGGGTAGGGGGCCTCTGCAGGCTTGAGGATCACTGCTGCCACCACTGCCACCCTGGGTAGGAGAGAGAAACCATGTAAGACATAATATAATACCTTTAACAGGAAGAAGGTGGGGGAGGAGGACAGGGTCAGGCTAGGGGTAGAAAGTAAGCCTGGAACAATTAAGACCAGAGCAAATCCTTGGTAAAGACAAAGTACTTAAAGGAGGATGATGAGTTTGTCACTCACCTGGGAACCAGTTATTTTGCCATGGCCTTGATTGCAACAGCTGCCTCCTCTGTCATGGCAGACAGCACTGTGATCTGGAAGACCAAGGGGGACAGTCAACAGATGTCTGAGCTCAGAGGAAGAACCATAGCAAAGCTGAGCAGAAAAGGGAGGGACACATAATGCTGTACAAGTTCTTTAAGTTAAAAAAAAAGGAGGGGAGGGAAGCAGCATACCAGGATCTCTTCTCCACAGTCATACTTCTGCTCAATCTCCTTGCCAAGGTCTCCCTCAGGCAGACGAAGGTCCTCTCGCACCTCTCCACTGTCCTGAAGCAGTGATAGGTACCCATCCTGGATGCCAATCAGCTGGGGAACAGATAGGGAAGGAAGTTGAAGGTAGGCCTATGTAGGCTGAGGGTAAAGGTTGTGATAAATAAACAGGGGTGCCAGCAAACTACTAATTTCAAATATCCTCTCCTGCCATTTCCCTCCACTCTCCCAGCACAAGTTCTCCTGTTCAATTCATGTTTTCCCTCCATAAAACACTAACCCTTCCTTATCCAGATCATCTACATACCTGGAAATCATTCCTTTTGATATTGGGGACATCCATATTATGAGTTGACGGGCAGATATCTTCATATTTCTTTCCAGTAAAGATGTCAATACCAACCAGGTGGACCTGTATGTATGCATCACAAAGAGAAACCCAACCAAACTCTAGGATGGAGATAAAGGATCCAGTTGCCCTTGGGTGAGGGGAAGTTAGACTACATTGCCAGGGCAAAGATCAGGAGAGTCGGAATTGAACCAATCGACTCAGAGAAGAAACATTAAAGCCTTTAAAAAAACAAAAACACGAACCTGAGGATAGAAGACCACCATTGAATAGATTGGGGTTGACAATGTGTTCCCTTGACAACACAAGGGAACATTACAGGGCAGATCCCAAGAAGTGGTTATTTTGGCAGAAAAACATCGACA